CCACCAACATAGCCTTCAAATATCCAGTGCCACAATAAAGCACTGAAGTAGGACTTTAATGTAGATATTTCTATTCTAACATTAAATAGAATAATCTATTAGTTTTTACATCACATAGTTGGTTTCATAACCCCTTCTTCAAAGATCTTTCATTACATATAAAATTTATTACATTGTTATCAATAAAGGATTTGTTTATGAGGTTTTATGCCCTATACATGGTCAATATTTGTAATGGTGCCAGGTACACCTTAGAAATGCATATATGCCTTTCAATTCCCATTCAACAACTGCCAGAGAACTACCATATCTAACTTTTCTAAAATTCTATTCAGGTCCTTAATTTCTTTCTTGTTTATTTTTTGGTAGTTTTGTCAAGCTCAGAAAGTGGTATATTGTGGTCCTCCACAGTTATAGTTTTAACTATTTCACCCTGGACCTCATTTCATTATTTCTTTAAATTTTTAAATGATACATAATTCAGTACATCTATTAGGCACTGAAATTAATTCGCTGTCTACCATACCTCTCAGCAAAATGTAGTTTTTTATCTCTTTTAATTAAGGACATTTTTGCTGTTGCCTTATCAAGACTAAGTAACCTAATCCTAAAGAACTGGTGGGTCAAAAAACAAATTATGGAAATGACAGATAATTTCATTAAACATAATGACAACAATGAAAAAAAAGCCCAAAAAATTTTGGGACATAAACAAAATAGTCCATGGGAAAAAAGTACATCTTTGGGGCAGATAGGTGGCGCCGTGGATGGAGTACTGGCCCTGAAGTCAGGAGGATCTGAGCTCAAATCCGGCCTCAGCCCAAACACTTGACACTTACTAGCTGTGTGACCCTGGGCAAGTCACTTAACTCCAACTGCTTTAAAAAAAAATGTGTATCTTTCATCAATAAAATAAAGAACAGATCAATGAACTGGGGATGCAACTAAAAAAATGAGAAAACCAATAAATTAAAACTCCCAATTAAAGACCAAAATAGAAACCATGAAAATCAAAAAAGGGAATAACAAGACTGAAAGCAAAAAAAAAAAAAAAAAAAAAAGCAAAACAAAAACAAACCTGAATTAATAAATAAAAGTAGGAACTGGATTCAAAAACAACAACAAAATAGATAAAACTATTAGCTAATCTGCCTAAAGAGGAAAACAAAATTGCCAGTATCAAAAATGAAATAGGGAAATCACAACAAATTGAAGAAATAAAGGCTATTATTAGAAATTAATTTGTTCAATTATTTGCCAATAAAACCAATTAACTAAAATGAAACAGATATTTATAAAAATATAAAAATACTCAGATTGAGATTAAAAAATGGAGAATTTAAACAACCCAATCTCAGAAAATAAACTGAACAAGCCACAAATAAACTGACAGGAAAAACTGGGAACCAGAGGGATATATAAGCAAGTTTCAACAAATATTCAAAGAACAACTAATTCCAATATTATACAAACTATTTGCAAAACAGCCCCAAAAAAGGGGTTGCCAGAGGAACCCTACCAAACTCAATTCCAGGATACAAATATGATCTTGAAACTTAATTAGGAAGAGTCAAAACATAGAAAACTACAGACCCTAACCCTAACCCTAACCCTAATTGCACTCTAATGAACACTGATGCCAAAACTGTAAAAAATATTAGCAAAGAGTCTACAACAACATGTCACAAAGACTACATCCAAGGTTAGGTTTATACTAAAAATGCAGCATTGTTTTAATATTAGGAAAACTATAAATGTAATTAACTATATTAATAACAAGAACAACAAAAACATGTTTATATCAAAAGATCAAAACACATAATAAGCTTTTGACAAAATACAATAGCTATTTCTATTAAAACACTAGAAAACATAGTAATAAATACACCTTTCCTCAAAGATAAATAGTATATATCTAAAATTAAGAGCCAGCACTACATGGAATGGGAATATAAACTAAAACCCTTTAAAATAAGATCAAGGCGAAGCCAAGATTACCATGGTCACTACTTCTATTTAACAACCCCAGAAAGGTCACCTTTAACAATAAGAAAAAGAAATAGAAAATAAGCATAGGTAGGGGCAGCTAGGTGGCACAGTGGATAGAATGCCAGCCCTGGAGTCAGGAGCACCTGAATTCAAATCCAGCCTCAGACACTTGACATACACTATCTGTGTGACTCTGGGCAAGTCACTTAACCTCAACTGCCTCACAAAAAAAAAAAAAAAAAAAGAAAAGAAAGAAAGAAAGAAAAGAAGCAGGGGCAAAGGAGAAATTAAATTATCGCTTTTTGCAGATGACATCATGGGGTACTGAGAAAAGCCAGACAGTTAAATGAAAAATTAATTATTTCAGTAAAGACACAGGAGATAAAATAAATCAGTAATGTGCTGAAGCCAGCTCATACTGAAGAGTTAATTGTTAAATTTTCAGTGTGAGTATTTATACCATGGACATCTGTAAACACTACAAATCAGGGCTTAATTTATTGTTTTATTTACTGTCTAGACTTAATAAAGTGATGGAAAAATGTCAATAATGCCGATTAAAATTAAGTGTGTCCTGCATATATATATTTTTTTTTCCAAAGAGCCAGTTGTTAAACCTTTACCAGCACAACACTGAAATAAACCCACATAAAATATCAGCATTGCTGCATATTACTACTAAAACCCAGCAAGAAGAGATAGAGAACTTCTATTTAAAACAACTATAGAAAATATATTTGGGAGTCCACCTACCAAGACACACATAGGACTATATGAATACACTCACAAAATACTGTTTTCAGGAAATAAAGACAGACCTAAATAATTGGAGAAATAGTAACTGCTCACAGGTAGGCTAAACCAATACAATTAAAACCATAATACTACTTAAATTACTCATTCAAGTAAAATCAACAAGCAAACTTTTAAGCACCTAGTACTGTGCTAAGCACCGAGGATACAAAGAAAGGTGAGAGACAACATTAAAGCAACTACATACAAACAAGATACAAAGTGGGTAAATTGGAGATGATTACAATGGGAAGGCTCCAGCTTTGAGGACCACTAGGAAAGGCTTCCTGCAGAAGAGGAGATTGAGACGTGAAGGCAATCAGGTTAATCGGAAAGTGAAAATAAGGAAGGAGAGAATTCTCAGCATTGAAGACAGCCACTGAAAATGCCTGAAGTCTGGATATGCAGGGTATTGTCTGAGTACAGAAAGGAAGCCAGTGTCACTGGGAAGGCACCAGGTAATACAGTGCTTTAAAAACCAACCAGAGCTTTTTATAAATGATCCTAAAAATAACAAGGCACCTGTGGAGTTTACTAAATGGGGGATTGTTGTTGTTGTTCAATCATGTGACTCTTCATGACCTCATTTGTGTTTTCTTAGCAAACATACTAGATTTTGCCGTTTCCTTCTTCAGCTCATTTTGTATGTGAGGAACTGAGGCAAACAGCATTAAATGATTTGCCCAAGGTCACATAGCTATTAAGTGAGGCCAGATTTGAACTCAGGAAGATGAGTCTTCCTGACTTCAGGCTCAGCACTCTATCCACTTCGCCACCTAGTTGCCCAAAAATGGGGGAGGGAGAGAGAAACATATTCAGAGTTGCATTTTAGGAAGATAAGTTTGACAGCTGAGTGAAGGATGGAGTGAAAAGAGACTTGAAGTGGAAGACCAAACAGGAAGGAAATAGTCCAGGTGTGAAGTAGTGAGGGACTGTATGGATGGTAACAGTATCAGAGGAAATAGGGGGGGCATATGCAAGAGATATTACAAAGGTAAAATCGGCAGGACTTGGCAATAGATTTGATTGGGGACAATGGGAAGAGTGACAGAGGAAGGAATACAAGATGATACCTAGGTTGGGAGTCTAGGTAACAGGGAGGATGGTGGTACTCTCAACAATAATAAGCAAATTAGGAAGAAGGGAAGGCTTGGGGAGAGAGGGGGAAAGATTATGAGTTCAGTTTTGGACATGCCGAGTTTAAGATGTTGGAGATGTGAGACTGGAGAGCATCAAAAAAGATAAGTCTGGATAAGCAGATTTGAGAATCATCAACATAGAGATTATAATTGAATCCATGGAAGTTGACAAGATTACCAAGAAAAATAGTATAGAGTGAGAAAAGGGCCAAGGCAGAGCCTTGAGGAACACCCAGTTAATAGGCCTGATATAGTTTTCAAAGAAAGAAATCAAAGAATGTTCCAAATCACTAATAAAGAAATGTTAATGTGAGGTTCCACTAGATACATACAAAACTGGAAAAGTTAACAAAAAAAAGGAAAATGACATGTTGGAAAGGTTAGGGGAAAACAAACACTAGTATACTGTGGGTAGACCTGTGTCCAGACATTCTGGAAAGTAATTTGGAACTATGCCCAAAAGCTTACGAATCTGTGTCCCAGACCCTTTAACCCAGCAATACTAGGCCTATATCTCAAACAGATCAAAGAAAGAGGAAAAGGATATATCTGTACAAAAATGTTCATAGCAGCCCTTTTTGTGGTGGCAAAGTACTGGAAACTGAGGAAGTGCCCATAATTTGAGGAACAGCTGAACAAACAATGGCATATGAATGTAATCGAACACTATTGTGCTGTAAGAAATGAAGAAAAGAGTTTCAGAGAAACCTGGATAAGACTTGTATGAACTGATAAAGAGTAAAGTGAGCAAAACCAGTAAAACAATTATAACATCAAAACCACAAAAACAAATAATTCTGAAAGACTTAAGAATTCTGATCAATGCAGTGACCAACCATGCATGATTCCAGAAAAGCAATGATGAAGAACACTGCCCAGCTCCTAACTACTATCGACTACTCTGCAGAATTCTGCATATGGTCAACGTGAAAGTATATTTTGTTTGACTGCTTATTTGTTACAAAGATTTTTTCCCCCACTGAGTGTTAAGTAAGGGCAACGAAATAAATAAAATGAATGAATGAATGAAACACATAAGCTGTTTAAAAATACTTTTTTAAATAAAAATGTGCTACATACCATTTCCCCGCCAAACCTCTGCCAAATGGCAGCTTCCTTCTCCAGGTTCTTTGCAAAATTCCACAACATCTCGACATGTTGTTTCAGGAGTGATTGGAACTTCTGTTAAAATCTGTTCATTATTGCTCAGGAATACCGTTAATATCATCTGTAAGGAAAAAATGTTCAATTAAAGCCACTATTTTTCAACGGAAACTTGAAAATCATACAGGAAGTCACTTTGGAGGGTATTAGTAATTAATTAAAAATTAACCTTCAAGAACAATCTGAATCAATCAATAAACATTCAAACACCTAGGTACAAAAAGTACTAAATAGTGGATACAAAAAGAGGCAAAAGACAGTCCCTACCCTCAAGGAGCTTACAATCTCATACGTGAGACAACATGCAAACAGATATAAAAAAGTAAGCTACGTACGGGATAAAAAGGAAATTATTAAAAAGGGAAGGCCCTAAAATTAAGAGGGGTTGGGTATGGCTTCCAGTAGAAGGTGGAATTTTAGTTGGGACTTAAATGAAACCAGGAAGGTCAGTAGTAAGAGAAGAGAGAGCATTGCAGGTACCGGGAATAGCCAGAGAGAATGCCTGGAGCTGAGAGATGGAGTGTCACTAGATTAAAGAGTACCTATTGGAGAATAAGGTGTAAGAAGACTGGAAAGGTAGGAAGGGGCCAGGTTTTGAAGGACCTTGAAGGTCAAACAGTCTTTTGTGTTTGATCCTGAAGGCAATAGGAAACCACTGGAGTTTACTGAGAGGAAGGTGGGAGGAGTCACGATGAGGCCTGTTTTCAAAGAAAATCATTTCAGTGGCTGAATGGAGAATGGACTGGAGTGAGGAGAGTCTTCAGCCAAGCAGCCCCATGAGCAGGCTACAGCAACAATCCAGAGTGAGGTGATGAGGGCTGCACTAGATTGGTGGCAGTATCAGAAGAGAGAAGGGGGAATATCCAAAAGATGCAAAGGTGAAATCAACAGGCCTTAGCAACAGCTTGACTATGGGGGATGAGACAGAGTGAGGAATTCAGGATGACTCCCTGGCAAGGAGCCTGAGGAACTAGGAGGATGGTTTTGCCCTCTACAGTATTAGGGAAGGTAGGAGGTGGGAGGGTTTTGGGGAAAGATAATGAGTTCTGTTTTAGATATAGAGTTTAAGATGCCTATTGGACATCCAATTCAGGATGTCTGAAAGACAGTTGGAGATGGGAAACTGAAAGCCTGCAAAGAGACTTTTATTCAATATACATACCAGTTGGCAAATCTTGTTTCTAACTCCACAACATCTCTCTCTACTCACAGACTGAATCTTAGTTCAGTCCCTCAGTATCTCTCACTCAGATTACTGCAACAGTCTTCTAACTGGTATCCCTGCCTTAAATCTTTCCCAATTTCAAATGTCCTGTCCACTCCCTACTGCCTTATATTTAGTATGGATACATTTTGTACTTACATATCTCTATACATATTCTTTCCCTAACATACTGAAAATTGCTTCCATTCCCCAACAGATAAATGATGAAAAGATAATCAATTTTCAAAGAAAGAAATCCAAGCTATCAACAAACATGAAAAAATGCACCAAATAACTCTTAGAGAAATGACAATTAAAGCAAGGTTCTAAGGTTCTGTCTCTCATCTATCAGATTGGCAAAAAATTATAAACAAGGAAAATGACTACTGTGGACAGGCTGCAGGAAAAAGAGGCGAAAGCCATGCATTGTCAGGTCAGCAATTCTGAAAAGCAATTTGGAACTATACCTAAAAAGTCACTAACTGTGCACACTCTTTGACCCAGCAACACCACTAGTCGCTTATGTACACCAAAAAGATCAAAGAAAAAACATCTATAGTAGCTTTTAACTATATATTTTGACACTGTCGTTCACTGTTTTGTTCATGTCTGACTCTTTGTGACCCCATTTGGGGTTTTCTTAGCAAATATATTAGAGTGGTCTACAATTTCTTTCTCAAGTTCATTTTACAGATGAGGAAACAGAGGCAAACAGGGTTAAGTGACTTTCCCAGGGTCTCATAGCTAGTAAAATATCTGAGGCCAGATTTGAACTCAGGAAGATGTCTTCCTGACTCCAGGTCCAACACTTTATCTACTAGGCCACCTAGCTGCCTTTAACTATCTATATATCTATCTATCAGCAAATAACTGGAAATTATGGAACTATTCATCAACTGGGGAATGGCTGAACAAACTATGGAATGTTAAGACATGAGGCAGCAGTTTCAGAGAAAACTAAGACAACTCATAGCATCATAACATTATGAAGAAAAACAACTTTAAAAGACTGGAGGACACTGACCAATGTAAAAACTAACTATGATTCTGGACCACTAGGACACTGACAAGCCAGAAGAGGACTAATAGCAGAACCATAAGGACATCTGAAACCATGCCATTCAAAGATAGGATGAAGAAACTATAAATGTCTGACCTAGAGAAGAAAAAATAGAGACAAGATGGCAGTATTTGAATATATAAAGAACTGTCAAGTGGAAGACGGGATAAGTGAGTAGACATTATAGGGCAACACAAAAGAATGTCCAAAAATTAAGTGGACTGCCAAAAGGGAAGAAGGAAGAAGTAAAGAGAATAATGGATTCCTGTAACTGGAAGTCTTCAGGCAGAGGCTAGATGACTACTTTGGGGATAACATGTAAACAGGATTCATGCTTTAGGAAAGAATTACACCCTATATGACCTATGAGAGCCCTTTCAACTCTACAATTCTATAATACTATAATGTAACTAGTCATATAGTTCCAGCCCACATTGCTGAAAACACCAAAATAAGTAATTTATATGCAAAGGAAGCCGAGTCTGTCAAAAGATTTTGTTTTAAGAATAAAAGCAGTTTGGAAATATAAAGATTAAACAGCTAATTAAGGTGAAAGTAAAAAGAACTACTAACTGCTAAGTCAGTCAGAAGAATTACATATCTAAACACCCAGGGATGACCAAAGTGATTACTTAAGAAGATGGATGATTCTCCGGCAGAAGCTACTCAATCCCAATTACATGGATTTAAAAACTGACTTTAGGATATGCTGAATTCACTCAATAAAATTTTACGTTTCTTCTTAGTTTAAAAAGTGGGTTGACCATTTTCTATTTCTCTTACAAAAAAAAAAAAACTAGCTTTCCTTCTCATCTGTATATTGCCCTCAAATTAAGGTTTTGGTAGATCACTGGCTTTACACTGGTGTTCTAGAAAATTACTTACATTTAAGCAAAAAGATAAGATAAGCAAGCCTGAACAAACAGGTTAATCAGGAAATACAGCTGACTGCTATTTTTCTTTCCTTACCAAGAAGGTCAGACTCATTCCTTACATACGCAATTTACTTTGTCCTAAATTTAGGGAATTTGAATCTATAAGACAGGGCTAGAAAATAAATTAGCTTAACCTAAAGATTTCAATTTCATTAAAGAGCTAACCTTTAAATTAATCCAGCTTTTGTTTGTTCAAAAATATATTTAATTTTCCCTGAGTTACAAAAAGGCAAAGGACAAAAAGCATATTCAGAATTTCACTGCACCCAATACTCTTTGGCTCCTCCCCACTAACTTCCCCTCCACTTCAAAATAAAATGCAACTATGAAAAGAGATGAGACTAAGAACAGTAACTCAGAAAATGGTTCTAATTTTGTTAACATAAACTAGGTGTATCCAGATGTATAAAAAAGATCTACCTCAATTCAATTCAACCATATCACCTTCTATGTACTAGGGACCATACTAGGCACGAGGGAAACATAAAGACAAATTTAAAAAACTTACATAACACAGGGTGTATATAACCTTTACACAGATAAATATAAAATAATACAACAAGGGATCAGTAAAGGCATCCTACAAGAGTGGCACATGGGATCGGCCTTGAGGGAATGACAGCCTGTGCAGAGAAAGGCAAAGGGGCCAAGGATGGCATGCCGAGTTCAAGCAATAACTTGCTAGTCCAGTTTGGGTAGAAGACATAACACATGAAGAGGGGTAAGCATGACATAAGTCAGTAAATATAAGCTGAAATGTGTGCTTTTGGATCCAGGATTGATAACGAAACATATCTCCCTACTCTCTGTAGAGAGGTGGCAGAACACAGGGATGGAGTAAATCATATGCTACCAGGCATGAGTTAACTTTCCAGTTTGTTTTACTTAACTAGACTTCTTCTACTAAGGAGGGTTGATCTACCTTAGGAGGACTGATTAGGAAGGGTCAGTGAGAAGAAAGAGTAGGTAGGAGCTACATTACAAAGCACTTTCCACGCCACTCTGAAGATTCTGTATTTTATTCTAGAGATAACAGAGAGGCACAGAAGCTTCTTGAACAGGGGAATGGCATAGTCAAACTTGTGTTTCTGGGAACTGACTTGGAGACAGTTGGGTAGAAAATGAATAAAAGACTGGAATCAGAAAGAAAGGTAATGAAAGCCTGAACTAAGTGGCCAGCTATGTGAGCTGAGAGATGCCGCGGGACCCTGATATATTGAGAAGTAGAAGTGACAAGCTTTGGCAACTGAATTGATATGGGAGTCTGGGAGAGGGAGGAGTAGAAAGGGTAGTTCCATGATTACAACAGTGATTAAGGCTAGATACATAAATCTGGGAGTCATCTAAACAGAGATGACAACTGAATCTGAGTGCTAATGAATCACAAGAAGAGTGAGTATAGAGAGAATAGGTTCCAGGACAGAACCCTAGGAGGACACATGGTAGGACACTAAATATGACCCAGCAAAGGAGCAATCTGACAGAAGAAAACCAAAGGACAGAAATGCCATGAAGACTGAGTGATAACAACAGAGTAATCAGAAGGAGGAAGTGATCAACAGTGTCAAAAGCTGAAGAAATGTCAATGAGGATAAAAACTGAGGGGGGAAATATCCATCAGATTGTTAAGAGATCAGCAGCGTTTGTCCCTAAAGAAGGGATAAGAAAATGCAACCTCTACCCATTCTTTACAGAGGTGGCAGATCACAGGAAAAAAACAATGCATGCATATACTATCAGTGGGTTAGTTTTGCTGAACTGCCTTTTCCCCTTTTCTTATTTATTCTGTTATAAGGCATCACTCACCTAGTAGGGAAGGTGGTGACAAGATATAAATATAGAAAAGGTGATATGAAAATATATTT